TGGTCCCTATTTTTCTACTTGCATTTTTACATGCTTTCAAACTGCTAGGTTGACAGAAGCTGGGGCAAGTAACGGGAGCTCACTCTGTTACGTGGCGCTAGGGATTTGAACCACCGAACTGCCGACTTTTCTGATTGACAAGCTCAGAGTCTTAGTCATTGAGCCATGGGCGTCCCTTGAAGACTTTTAAATTAAGTAGCAAATATTTTCAGCTAGCTTCTGAAAGTGGAATGCATAGTCAACACTAATATGTCATTATATAAACAAATCAATTTTAAATGAGGCTTACAAGAATCTATCTTTCTCCATCTTGGTCACTAAACTGGATGGAATAAGCCATATAAAAATATATGAGGCTGGTATGACAGCATTGATCACTTCCAGACTAGAATCCTTTATAAGAAGTTGGTCATTTATCCCTAAGACAAATGATAACTTACCTGTAAGAAACCGGAAGGATCATTTTCTTTGATTACTTCTAGGCAATATTCCATAAGTCCTGTTGACTGTCGCAGTTTCAGAGTGCAGTGGTTTATCTGGTCCCATACAACCTATGGAGGGAAAATGTGTCAGAATATTCATAAACTGGCAGAGACCTGGTAACAAATCAGCCAAAGAAGGCTGTTTGGGAGTTGAGACAGCTAGGAGCCTGGGTGTGTCTTTTTCTCTATTAAGCTCTGAACTCTGAACTGAAACCAACCATGGTAGTTGCCTGTAACTACTACCATGTTGGAGAATCCACTATTGCTTTGTACATTTACTCATGTGTTATTATGTACATAAAGAAGTTAATGAATCCTGCTGAATCAGTTATCTGTGTGTGCTTTCTGGATGTGATTTCTGCAACAAACCCTGACAAAATGCCTGTCGATCTCTCCAGCATTCACTGAACTGAGGAAATATTTTTCAAAACACTAGCAGAAGAGAAAAGAATTTCATGGAATAATATTTGCTTAGACAAATTGTCAGTGTTCCGAGTAATGCACCCATTGAAAGCAGAAATCTGAGGCAGGTATATTTCTCAAAGTAAATGTTTATTGGATACATCGTATAGGCACAGCCAGTGAAAACCAACTCTAAAGGTTCCCATGGTTTTCACCTAATTAAAAGAGCAAAACTCCCCATCTCCCCAGTGTCATCAGTGACATTGTCCAATGAATATAGTTAGCAGGCTCCTCTTCTCCTTCACCAGCCACCCGTTACAATGACCTTGGTTCCCACAAGAAAACTTTTTATTTTGACTGTTAGCTGCGCTATCTACTCCCCCCACCCCACTTCTCTTTCCCTCTCTGGTCTCATGGCAACTGTGAGACAGCACAAGATGGCTTCAGCCAGGTTCACTTTAGATTGACTCAAACATATTGATATCATCTCTTTTCAACTATAGGCTCTACATAGGTTCTGATATTAGGGAGGCCAATGGCATATAAGGGGAAGATTCTAAAAAGGTTCAGGGTCCATTTATATTTATGGCTGACATATTTGAATCTCAGAGGTGTGTACTTGTGGCTTCACTTGTATGGATTGAATACGGCAAATTGGGACCTAGGATTACAAAGGATTTTTTGCATGTTCTTGTATCCTTTTTTCTTATAAACTTCGATAATAATGCTAAATAATTAATGTAAAGCTTTAGAACTACACATTCAAGAACATGGTTTTAAAAAATGATCAGGTTCTTCTATTCAGCAGGTATGAATAAAGTTTTCACTCACCTTTAGCTTGTGCTCACGCTCTTTGGTAACTTTGGTGAGCAATTTGGCCTTTTGGCGAGTCAAAGCATCAACTAAAGCATCACACTGAGCAACCAGACAAGCTTCATAATCCAAGCCATTTTCCTGAAAAAAGATGTAGGAACAACCTTTACCTTTATATTCTGAGAGCACCAGAATTAGTGTGTGTAGCCAACAGTTATTTTTCTGCTCTTTTCTAAACACTTTGGAATCATGCAGTTATTTTTAATAACTAATTAGTGTCCTGAAACCAGTTTCCTATTGCTATAAAATGTCTGTAAGTATACTACTAAGAGGATGATTTTGGCAGAAGATAAAAATATCCTTTCCTACTTTGGCACCATTAAAATTTTAACATCCTCCATGCTTTGTTAGGGTGATGTTTGTATAAATTCTTGGGTGTTATTAATCAGGATTGTTTCTTTCCTTCCTTCCTTCCTTCCTTCCTTCCTTCCTTCCTTCCTTCCTTCCTTCCTTCCTTCCT